ACCTGGCATCAGCTTCTGAGCACAGGATGGGTCCTGACTGGGATTTGCAAAGGAAGAAAGCAGACACCCTGCTCCCATCTCTTTGCCTCGCTTTGGTCCATCATGACTCCGGCTCTGAGCTCCACTGTGACCACAGGGCCAGGTGTTATCACCTCACTCTGGGGCAGCTTTGGGGTATCTGGAGAATGTACTTGGAAACCACTGGAAACCCAATGGTTCCTAACAATCCCACCTCTCCATGTCCAGTTCCCTAGTCAGAGTTCTTCAACTTTGATGCTTCTCCCTAGAGAAAGAGGAGAGGCCCAGTGAGGAGTCTGGTCACTTCATGAGGCATGTCACTGCCTGAGGAAGAAGAGAGGGGCATTTGACAGTCACCAGTCACTCACTCTGGTGGTTCTTCTTTCCTTGTTCTTGCACCTGGGATTCTTGAAAAGGGTACCCGTTGTCCCTGCCCTGCCATCCTTGGGCCCTCTCTCCTGCTGGGAAGACCAGCTCTGGCTCTGCAGAAGCCTCTGAAAGCTGCATACTGGGTTATGTGGTTCCTGGAAACCCTTGAAGTGCAACAAAAACAATGTGCTGTTCTTACTGTGAAGGATCATGAAGCAGTGCTGATGTGTCACAGTGAATTCATTGAAATGACCTGCTATCTGACTCTTGAAAACAGTCCTGAATTTTTAATTTTTCATCACTTATTTTTAACATATTGAGTAAGTCTTTGCACACCTAACCACATAATTTATAAGAGTATTTTTCAAACCACATGGGTTATGACCCATAAGTGGACCATAATAAAAATAAGTTCATCAGTCACTCTCAGCATTATTTTTTGACAATTGACAAAAAAGAACAGAACAGAATGAATAGAATAGAATAGATAGTTAACTAGTTTACCTAGTTATATATGTGTTTGTGCGTGTATACCTGTGTTGTTACGTGTACACCTGCACACCCGCGTGCATCTTTATGTACACGTAAAGGACTGGGAGTCAGATGTGTTTTTTCTCAAATTTAAAAAATGACATCATTTACATATGGTAAGATGCATGCTTTTAGTCTACAATTTTTGATCATTGTAAAATACATTTCTGCCAGTGTCAAAAACTGGGACAACTAGTTAAAGCAAGAGTCTAGCTAGACATATTCCCAAAGGAGAGATTGTTCGAAGATCTTTGGAGGGTGAGACGATTGTCTTATCTCAGGAGACAATTGCTACATCCCATATTTTAAAGCCCTGCAGGACCTGAGAAATGATCTATTTGATGGTTTTCTAAACTTTCTTTTAGCTATGTCACCTTTCTATAAACCAAAGCCGGTAGAGAACCCAGCAGATAAAAGCAGGGTCACTTTGCAGAGAGAGACACAGCTGAACCTGCCACTGGGGTCCAAACTTCTCATGCCCAGAGTAGAACCCCCAGGCAGAGTGACTAACTGACAGGTCCAGGGTGGCCACTTCTTGTTGTCAGAGCTCAAGTTCAAACTCAAGGGTTGGCTGTTGATTACGGCTTTCCAATGCTGTGCTGATCTCAAGGGAATCGTAAGTCGCACCTCGTCCAGCAAATGAAACAGCGCCATGGGACTGCAATACTCACACTGCACTGCTCGGTCAAGAATAGACCCGTGGCCCCTGGGGACGGCGGGAGTGTGACCCAGTCCTGAAAAGGCCGGAACAGGTTATTGGGAGAACAGGGTCATGAACACAGACCCTGAGCTTGGGACCTAGTAAGAACCGTGGCTAGACACTCAGTTTATGGGTTGCCATTTGATGTAGCCCCTCGGGTGTAGGAAGGGCAGGCGATCTTGTCTCCTTTCTTTTCTGGGACTTCTTTCCCTTCCCTTCTCTGCATGCAGGCAGCGGGAGGAAACGGAGGAAAACCCAAGCTAGTGGTGTGTAACCTCTGCATCCAAGGCAGGCTGCCCTCCATACGTGCTCAGCAACCCTGTCCATATTTGGATAAGAATGTTGAGAACACAAACCCACCACTCTGCCTAAGTCTGCCATCGTGAGATATCCTGTTTACTCATCGGCCACATTGATGACAAATGAACAAATGAGAGCTAAGCCAGCACTGGGCTCTGAGGAGCAAGCCGTGGCATTGTACGTGATTAGGTGATCACAAGGAGCTTTGAAATGGGTATGCAAAGTCGCCCTGGTGGTTTCAGATAAATGATACTCTTCAGGTATGAGCTCCTATCAGCACCCTCCACTTAGGAGTGAGGTCAGAGGTCAAATGACCCATCCTCCAGTATGGCTGTTGTTGATGTGGGGTTGTTTCCATGGTAATTCAGGAATCTCATCTCCCTTTTCAGAATTATTAGCACCATTTTTGTCGTGTTTTTTTTTTTTCTTTTTCCATTTGCGATTTGGGTTTTTAAGTAGGGGACTTGCGCAGTTTTCTAGGCTATATGACCTAACTTGGGGATGAAGATTGAAATTACTGGAGATTTCATGCCACTTTGTGCAGTATACCACTAACCTCCCAGATAGCTTTGGAGGGGTTTTTAAATATGGATCCCCACCACATCCCACTCCCGCAAAGAAGTGTTCCCTTAAGGAAGATCTGCGCTCACATGGCCACACAGGTAGAAAACTTCTGATACAAGAGGCATGTGACAAGCTTTGTGGGCTTTTGAGGGCAGGGTAGTGGGAGGGATGAGGGCTTTTGGTGAAACACCAGAAGAGCGAACACACGTGGCTGATGGAATACAGAATGTGTACGATGGAAATTGGGCTTAAGAGTAATAAGGGGAAGAGGTTGAGATGACTGTCAGTAAGAGTGTGATGGCAGAGGTTAAGAGATGTGAGGAGGTGTGAGACCCCCAGGGTACCGAGAGCTCCTGGGATAACCTGCAGAGAAACCAAGAAAAGAGATTTAGGGAGCAACTAGTTAATGAGTGACGTTAATGATGGGATGGTTAACAATATGCAATTGGCAATTGACTTATGCAGAACACTGCAATAAACAGAAAGTTGATACATCGGAAACAAACATATTTATTGAGCGCTTTTTGTTGTGACTTGCTCAGTAGAACAAGTGTGCAGAGGCCAGTGTCACATGCCGAGGGGACCCAGACCAGGCCAGCACAAGCCCAGGTTCTCCAGGAGTATGTGGACACCAGAGCACAGTGAATGCTACCCATAACACACTCACATGCAAGGTCACGGGCTCTGGATTACCCGACGTGCATCGCGCCCGGACTTGGAACGGTTATGTGGCATTTCTGCATTTTGTATTTACAGTAGGTAAGAGTGAGTGTAAGAGCAGGATGTTGAATTTTTAAAATTAAAACCTCTGCTCTGCCAGTTACTTTACAACCGAGGACATTTTCTTTAACCTCTCTTAGTCTCAGTTTTCTGGTCGACTAAAAACAGTCACCATGACCTTACAGAGCTTTTGGAAATAGAAAATGAATGATTTATGAAATAGTACTTAACACAGTATCTAAGACAGAGCAAGCGCTCAAAAGTGGGCACCGTTACTGTGTGACATTTGTTTTCGCTGTCATGCCTATGGTAGCCATTTATTGATGGACTTTATGAAACACATAAAGGAGTTATTTTGTAATATGGCATAGGAAGTTCCAAGAAGGAAATGGCTTCCTTGCAGCATCAACGGCAGGGGTCTTGGACAAGCTCCCTAGGAGAGGCATGCAATGTGGAGGCCACCACTAGAGGGCCCTGCAGGGACCCTAGAACTTCTTGGGTGTGGAATGGAGGTGCAACCCTCAGAAGCCCTGGCCTTTTGGAAACTCCGTGGTTCTATTCATCGTGGCTGTTCAAGAAGGCAAGTAATAATCAGAGTCACTTCTAGGAGCCACTTCTGGGGGTGTGCAGGTGGCTGCCACCAGTAACAGCTGGTAGTGCCATGCTAGTGGAATCCTAGGTTAGCCTAGGGTCACTGTGGACCTGTACCGTTGCACTGAGTCACCATACTGGGGATTAGAATGAGGTGATACGGTGTAATATCAGCTTTGGGACAGGTTCAGAGCTCTGGGTAACCAACCATCACAAAACCCACCTTGACTCTGAACTGAGCCTTCAGATTCCTGTAGAGCCCAGGACCAGAACTAAGGTTTGGGCAGGAGTGAATAAGACCCCACACATGGGAGCTCTTGGAGTTCTGGGGTGGCAGGAGCCCAGTGAGCCCTGCCCGAAGGGTGGATGGCAGGACACCTTTGATGATGCACAGTCATACATTGACAGCAATAAATGGTTAACACCCTTCCCATCCCATATTCACTCAGGGATCTACCCCACTGCTTTTTAAGGCGCACCATTGATCAGGAGCCCCAAGGAAGAGTGAGAGCAGAGCGGGATGAAGCCGGTGCCGGCAGAAGGCAATGCCAGACCTGCAGCTGCAACTCCTGGGAACTCTATGGCTTCCTAGGAGTTTGCCGTCTGGGGACTGAGGGACCCAAAGCCTTTATTTTCTTGTGGCTACTTTGCTTCCGTGGACTTTACATTTTCAGCCCCAAACAGAGCTGCGCTCGGGGTTGGGAGATGGGGGCGGGGAGGGGGGGACAGACAAAATAATATGCCCCTAGCTCCAAGATGCAAATGCAAGCTGAGGAGAGCTTTGCCTTCTCCCACCGTGCCGGTGAAATGATTCCGAGCTGTGCAGAAAGGAGGGGGCTGTCGTCCCAGGTCACACACCTCATCCCCGGGGTCTCTCCCCAGTCCTCTGGTCCTATGAGAGCGCTGGCAGGGGACCGAGGCTGCAGGCAGGACCTGGCTGGGAGCAAGGGGGGACGTCCCTGGCGGGGGCGGAGCAGGTGAGCCCCGCGGGTGGGCGTGGGGAGTGCACTTGAGCGTGACGTTGGAGTTTGCAGCTCCGGGGAGCAGGAGGCTGAGCGCGCGTGTGTGGAGCGCTGCGCGGCGGGCCGGGAGGATGTGCGCGGCGGCAGCGGGGCGGCCACCGCAGTGAGCAGCGGCGACAGGAGCGGGCGACAGCCCCGGGGGACAGGGACCGAGGGGCGAGGAGGAGGCCGCGCCGCCCCGGCCGGCCCCAGGATGTAGGCGATCGGCGGCAGCGCTCCTGCAGGCGGCCGGCTCATCATGAAGAAGCATTCGGCCCGGGTGGCCCCGCTCAGCGCCTGCAACAGCCCGGTCCTGACCCTCACCAAAGTGGAAGGTAACGCGCTGGGGCGGCGGGGCCTGGCGCGGCGACTCGGAGCCCCCGCGCCCTCCGGCTGCGGGCCCGGCGGGGGCGGTCGCTCCCGGGAAGTGGTCCGCAGTGCCGCGCGCAGCCGCCTGCGGGGACCCGGTGGCTCTGCCGCCCGCAGCTCCCTCCCGGGGACGCGGGCTCGGCCTGGGCGCATGTGGCCGCACCGCAGCTCATCGCCTTCTCTGTGGGTCCCCCAGCCAGGCGCAGGGGGCCCAGACACTGACCAGCTTTTCTCAGTCTCTCTCTCTCTCTCCTCCTCCTCCTCCTCCTCTTCTCTCCCTTTCTCTCTCCCCGTCTCGTCTCCCTCTTCTCTCTCCTTTTCTCTCTTTTTTCTTCTCCTCACATCTCTCTCCTTTTTCTTCTCTCCTCTCTCTTCTCTCTCTCTTTCTCTCTCTTTTTTCTGTCTTCCTCCTCCTCCTCCCCTTCTCCCCTTCTCTCTCTCCTTCTCCCTCCCCTTTCTCTCCTCTCTTCTCTCCCTCTCTCTTCTCTTCTCTTCTCTCCCTTTCTCTCTCCCTCTCCTCTCTTCTTTTCTCTCTCATCTCTGGGGCATTCCTCCTCACTCCACCCCAGGCACCCAGAGCTGTGGCCCAGGGCTGCTGGAAGCTGGTGGAGGCAAGGAACTTCTCCCCAGCTATGAAGCCTTCCCTTGCTGGCCCAGTGGCTCAAGTTGTAGAGCGCTTGCCTAGCAAGTGTGAGACTCTTGAGTTCAAACCCCAGTGCCACAAAACAATAAGTAAAATAAAATAAAATCAAAACATCACAGTGAAGCCTCCCCTGTCCACAGTGAAGGGACTGACTGTCCAGCTGTGGGGATGGGGAGGGTGGGCAGGTGACAGAAAACTGGCACCAGCCTGTAGATATATTCTGGCTCAGGCCTTGGGGGTGGGGGTTGTATGAGGCCCCCAGACTGTGTCTTCATCGTGCATGTCCCTTCAGCATGGAACCGCCCCCACTCCGGGGATGTGTGAAGAGAGAGAGAGAGAAGAGGCCACGGAGGAGGGCTGTGCCTCACTCAGACACAGCTGTCACTCTGCTGGTGTGAGAAGGGACATCGCTTTCCAATAGAGAGGGACTCTCTCAGTCCCTAACTCCTCTCAGGAGCAGCTGTAGAAGGGTCAGCTCTCCCAGGAGTTGACCAAGCTGGCCAGAAGCCTGGGAGGGACCTGCCAACAAGAGGAGGCAAGACGTTCTGCTGATCACAAGCTACCAGAGTCCTTTAGTCCAGCAGGGAGGGAGGGATGGCCATGGGTTCTGCCAGCCTCTGTGGGTTTTTGCATCCCCCACGCCCTGTGAGATGTGCTGTTGAAAGAAGTCTGAGGACCAGTGGCGACAACACAGGGGCTGGCTCCGGGATGGGTGCTCTGAGCTCTGCACCATGCTGGTACCTGCAGATGAGAACTGTGAGGCAGACTGCTCCACATGTCCTCCAGCAGATAGCTGATAAAGTCGGAAGGAGATCCTGAACTGTCCAGTCCTGGTCTCATGCTCTTTTGCAGAATGTTGCTTTGCACTGACCTGCAAGGACCTCTTTCTTGGCACTGTCTTGAGGAGGTTGACTTTTGTTTCTTCCTCTGACTGTCTCCTCTCCTGCCATCCCAGTCTCAGGAAAGACTTAGTATCAATCACCTACACCAGAAATTGGTGTATGGGCTGCGTCTGATAAGGGTTGCATTTCTGAGCCTCCTCTGGAGAGACTTGGCCCACAAGCGGGGTGAGCTGAGGAGGGAAAAGGGTGGATGTTTACTTTCTCTGAGGAAGTTGCTAGTTTCACTCACTCCTGGGGTCTTCATGGGAAGTCACCTGCCTCTACCTGTCAGTAAGGCAGGCTGGTTCTGTGCTGCAGCAGCAGGGTGTCTCCTGAAGTGCCCCAGTCCACTGTGGGCAGGACAAGACTGAGCTCCCTGGGAGAGGTGCTAGACGCACATGGTGAGGCTGCCTGCGCTGAGTACTGTGGCTTCAGAGGAGCTGCAGAGCAGCAAGTGACAAGTCAGGCACAGGTAATCCCCAGACCTAAGCCTGGAGGTTGCCTTGAGGGACTGAAAATGAGGATGTCTTTCCCCACCCCCCATGACATCACACAGACATGGCTTTCCCACAGGCCTTCCCACGGGTTTGGTTTATTAACCAGCATTTCCACATGCATGTCTGCGGCTAACAGCAAAGGGTGCTAAAGTAAGAATTGCACGGTTAAGAATCAGGACTGGACTTGGCCTCTTAAACCATGTGACTTGTGTAAACCATGGACCCTGGGCCTCAGTTTCTTCAACTGTAAAGGAGAAGTACCAACCTACCTCTGCAAACTGTTGGGAATGAAAGAAGTGAGTGGTCATCTCCAGCACTTGCCTAGCATACAGCAGGTGCATAATAAATAGCTAGCCAATTCTCCAGTCACAGAGAGTCTGGGTGGTTCAGCAAACTTTGCTGTTCTCAAAGAGGACGGTGTGTGGAAGCACCTGCTGAGTTGCAGCAAGATGGAAAGCCCCAGTGCTTCATGGGATGGTTACATGTGTGTCAGCCCAAGTCTGCAGGTGAGAGCCTGATACACCTGCCTTTGTATGCCTTGGCTCAGAAAAGCTCTCTCTGCCTGCCTTTTCTTCTTGGTGTTTTTGTTAAGTTTGGATTTTGGTCTATTTTTCTAAAACCACGTGCATCTGTGTGCTTGATCTGGAAGGGTCGAATCACTTTGCTTTGCCTCGACTGCACCGAGCAAGGTGGTCTCTGTCCTGTGGCTGTTTGTGTGTGAATGGCAGACAGGCTACAGGGGTGGATTGCAGTGAGAAAGGACTATTTATTAGTGTGTGGAGTGTGTCCTTGGAGGGGAGGCATAGAGCATATAAACCCAAAATAGAAAATGCAATGCTTGGTTGAACTCAAACACAGGAAGATGGGCAAAGTGACTTCACTGTCTGTACTCTGTGTCCTGTGACAGTTTAGCAAGGCCTTGGAAATGCAGAAAGGAACAGTGTTACCTTCTTTATCTCAAGGAAATTTCAGTCCAGTGGGAAGGAGACGTACAGACAGATGAATGATCAAATAAAAGGTAGAAAGTTCTTTCACAGAGCTGAGAACAAAGTGTCACAGGGAAGCTGGAAATTAAGCAATGTGAGCTGAGGGGTTGTTCTGGAGGAGAAGGCTGCCTGAAGAGGGGGCCTTCCCAGGAGGAGGCCTTCTGAGGTGAAGGTGTTACCACTGAGGCTGAGGGTGTGAGAAAATGAGTCAGGCTCAGAGGGAAAGAGAGGCTATTTCAGACAGAGGCAGCCCAGCCAGGAAGCATGAAGAGGGGCTAGGCCTCCGATTTGGGTTGAGGCTGAACGAGTGGCTCCTGGTCAGCCCGATGCTGCTGTAGTCTAGCAGCATGTCATGTTTTCATACCGTTTTCCTGGCTTTCCCATCCAAAGCAGACACGGACTGTTGATCCACAGCGCATCTCTAGTAAAGGAGCATATACCAGAATCATCTATGTTCACAATTAGCTAATTTATGTTCAATAAAATTACATTCAATGGGAATTAATAGTTGAGAACAGTACAGCGAATTCCCCCAAAAGGCCGGCAGTACACAGGCTGAAGGAGAAAGCCTTGGAGTTAGGCGTAGAACCCAGGTGGCTGAGTGATTTGGACCAGTGGTTGAAGGTCTTGTAGGATCCTTTCTTTTTTTTGAGAATAGGGGTGGCGATACCTCATTGGTAAAAATGAACATGAGTTTTCTAATGGATGCCTACCATGGCGCTGGTACCGAGCTGTGCAAGATTGTTCAGTTGTCTCTGATTCTCCCTAAGCCAGAGTAAGCATTGCTATCCCTGGCTTTTTAAAAATGAGGACACAGGCTCAGAGAATCATGGTCAAGCTCATGGAGTCAGAAAACGAGGGGCCTGGTGTCAAAGCCACATCTACCCAGCTCCAAATGGCAAAGACCTTCTCACAGCTGCATTGCCTTTGAGGAGGAAGAACGGTACCAGCTCAAGGCACTTTGTGAGTGCTCAGTGTTTGCTCCCTGAGGCCCCCTCTGCCATGTAGCTCAGTGGCTTGAACCCCACCAGAATTCATAGGAGCCTCAGATGTTGGTGATATTCTTAGTGCCTTTGCTCCTGGGGAGTCAGACAGCCTCGGCTGCCCCCAAGAAAGTCTGGCTAACTTATCTCTGTCACTAGGATAAGGCTTATCCTGCAATGCCCAGTGTCTGAAGTGTGGCAGCTTCAAGAAGGATTTGACACAGGGTTCCCACAGCATTTCCCTGGGTGGGGAGTCCCTGAAACTTCAGTGGCAAAAGTCATTTATATGTTGATCAAATCTAGTACCTAATACATCCAAGAGAATGGACCCAAGAAGTACAATACAATCCTGGATCTCATTCTGATTCCAAACCAGGGAAAGGTCAGAAACGCACATGAGACAAGATTACCTTTGGAACAGAATTTCTTTAATTCTATGGAAGATGTATTAAATAAATGAGGTGTTTCAACGGAGGGTGAGCTCACCTCTGGCTGGGACCCAAATGGCCACGAGGCTGCAGTCCGGCCACCATTACATTCCTTTGCCAAAATGACATAATCTTACAGGATTTTTCCCTGCAAAGCCTCAGTGTGGCCACAGAATTCTTCTTGGGATCCTGCTCCTCACCGGGCTCCAGGCAGTATCACACATGCATTGGGATGGCCTTTCCTGGGAGCGGGGTCAGGGTGGCATGGAGGAAGATGTAGCCTTTGCTCTCGGCTGTCACAGGCGGGAGGTAAGAGGATGGCCCTGCTGGGAGTGGGAGTCCCCACAGACAGGTGCAGAGATAGGAAAAGGCAATGCTATCCCTGGACACCTGTAAGCAGCTGCTGGGGCCAGAACTTAGGTTAACTGGAGATGCGATGAGGGACGCAGGAGGTAAGGGAGGATGCCAGGAAGACTCTGGGCATCCTGGATTCTGGACTCCAGCAGAAAGGGGAGCCAGAGAAGGGAAGAAAGACCTCAGAATCTGAG